ATACTGCTTGATATCATTTAAAAAATTCTTTTGAATGTGGAATTTTCCTTATACAACAAATAACTGAATCACATAAATAATGTCTGCTCTTAACACTTCATTTTTAAAATAGAAACGACAAACATTTCAATGGTCACTTTCCTTCCAATTTTCCTGCTAATAAAATTAGCTAAATCTATCCAAACATTCTTGTATAGATACATTTTAAAAAGAAATGACCACAAAAAACACAATTGGAATCTCTAGTTTGAACCTTTCTAAGACTTCCTTGACAGGGTATATTCGATGTAATATTTTAAATGAAATTTCTTTAATCTTATTTTGGATGCAATATTGATTTAACAATTTCCATGCTTTCTTCCAATTTATATCATCGAACAGGGAAGTCCAAAAGAATTTTGCAGAGGAAACTGATGGTTGGCAAAGGGAATTCCTAATATGCTGGTTGTTACATTACATGTCCCATAAGTTAATATCCCCAATAAATATATTTCTACAGGCAACGTCTGGGCATTTATAATTTATACAAGCATTCTAGACAGTGCGCCTGTTACGTCCCGCTCCGTCCGCTCCTGATGTGTGCCACGCCCCCCTCATTACCTGGTGTTCCTCCCTGATTGTTCTCACCTGTGGCTCGTTATCCGTGGCTTGTCTTTTGTATTCAGTCCTCGTCTGAGTCAGTCTTCCCCAGACTCGTCATTAATGTTGCCTTTCGTTTTCCTCCGTCCTGTGACCTACCTAAATAAACCCCGATTACCTGACTTCCTGGCTCCTGCTCTCCTGCTTTCCTGTTCGCCCGACCAGCGAACGTGACAGAATGACGAGTCTCCCCAACAACGCAACGCAGCAGAACGAGGACGACTGGCTCGTCCTGCTGCATGAAGTAGCGCACTGGAGAGAGCAGCCTGAGATCCAGGAAGACCCAGCTCTGACCGGCTTGGTCGCTCGAAGCTGGGATGTCCTCCAGAGCGTACAACCGCGAACAGAGGAACGCATCATGGCGGAGGTGCGTTTCCTGTTGCAGCAGCTGGTCCTCCGGTTCGAGGAAAAAAGGCGCAATTAGGGACGCTATTCCCCGGGTGCCGAGAGCCCTTATAGGAGCAGCACCTGCTCGCTCGGCGCCTCTCCTGCCGCTGGTGCCGGACCTGCATGCTCCGGACCTGCCCGCGGCACCGCCTGCTGCTGCCGATCTGCCCGCGGCACCGCCTGCTGCTGCTGCCGCCAATCTGCCCACGGCACTGCCTGTTGCTGCGGCACTGCCAGCAGCACTA